AAGAAAATAAATTGCAAGAAGATAAAAGATAATTATCTCTTCATTTGATTTTCAAAGATCTGGAAATAGCCATTTAAAAGCTAATGTCCCCAGCTGAAAAGGCAATATGGTGATGTGTTAACTACAGAAAAAAGAGCAACTACTCAGTGTTCATTGTGTCCCAGTTAGTTGTTTTTAGTGACAAGTGCACCTGCCACCTACACATAAATCAATTCACAGAAAAATATACAAAAACACATCATGTAACCTATACTTCCTAACCTTGACTTTCTATTACTGTTGATTCTATATGCCTACCACATTACATACCCTCCAAATTCAAGACATCTCTAAAAATTCAGTAATGGTGTTAAGCCAAGTACTATCTATAGCATGCTCAAAATGATTTTGTTATATTTCAAGTGCAGCATGCTGTGTTATTTAGAAATAAAGATTGTTTTTATAGTATACCATGAACAAAACATTTCATATACAAAAGACTGAAAAATATTACAATGGACTACAACATTTAAAAACGTGGCCCATTGATTTCTTTACTTCCTTGTACTGTATAATATTCCCTAACCGCAGAATAGCAAGGCACGCTCGGGGTACAGGCTTATCTGTACCTACCTTCCCTACCACTGCACTAGAGCTGTAGGAACCGTTCTCCGTTCTGGAAATTCTTCAAACCCTTAAGGCATTACCTTCGGGTAAGAGTCCTGGCCCAGATGGTCATACTGCAAAATTTTATAAGCAATTTAGAGATCTCCTAACCTTGTTACAACATGTTTCATTGTGATTTCTCCTTCATGGCCTTTCCCCAAACAGTCATAGGAAGGACCTGGCTCACTGCAGTAATTATCGTCTTTTTCCCTGATAAATGTTGATGTGAAGGTTTACACTACAATTTTGGCAAAGTGTTGGCAACTCATATCCTTGCCTTGCACAGACTTGCGTCCTTATGCCTTTTGTTGATCGATGCTGGAAAGGCATTTGACCACATGAGCTGAGCCTTTCTCAGGGGTTCACTACTTCATACAGTGTTTCCTCTGAAATTTGTGAATAAGATTATGGCCCTGTAATCTGGTCCCTCTGCTAGGGTGCGGTGAATGTACTGCTTTCAGCCCCTTTGGAAATTCATAACGGGACACGACAGGGGTGCCCCGTCTCAGTTTTTGTACGTATCAGTGATTGAGAGGATAGGTAATGCGATCCACGGCAGCGATTCAATACAGGAGCTCCACGTTAGTTCTCGCATTCATAAAATGGGGCTGGATGCCGATGGCTTATTGGTTTATTTGGCAAATGTGGTGGTGGGCATTCCTTCCTTGTTGCAGGAATTTAAGGTCTTTGGGGATCTCTCCAACTATTGGGTGAATTTGCATTAGAGTGAAATTCTGTATGTGCCCTTGTCTAAGGTTGATCGGGAGTATTTGTGATGATCCTTTTCTTTTAAATGGAAGTCCGATTGTATCACGTATTTGGGGGTACATATTTCTTCTAATTTGTTGAACCTTTACAATCTTAACTATGCACCGTTGCTGAAGGATATATAAGACACTCTTCACTCCTGGATGAACCTACAGCACACTTGGTTTGGCAGAATAGCTCTGTTTAAGATAAATCTGCTCTCTTGCAGTTTGTATTTATTTCAAACCCTTCCACTGGTTCTGGCAGCTTACTTTTTTCACCGACTGAAGATGGCGATATTGCACTTTGAAATGAGGGAACTGCTGAGAAAGGAAGAAGTGGGGTTGCCCTACCAGATGTTGAGACATTTTATAGGGAACACATTTGTCTCATATTGTAGACTGGTTCGATGCAAAGGACCCGGGACTCTGGAATTTGCTGGAGCAGGATCTTTCTCCAGTCCCTTTGTCAGCTTTACCATGGCTGCCGTCCTCTTTGCTTCTGAGTCCTTCTGACTTACCTTTTTTCCTCCCTTTGTCCGTAACAGTTTAGAAGTCTACTAAAACTGTGTACAAGTGTTATCCACCCCTTGTGGTCCTCTGACACCGGTGCTTAGTGATCCTGCTTTTCCTCCAAGGTCCTTCTGACTTACCTTTTTTCCTCCCTTTGTCTGTAACAGTTTAGAAGTCTATTAAAACTGTGTACAAGTGTTATCCACCCCTTGTGGTCCTCTGAGACCGGTGCTTAGTGATCCTGCTTTTCCTCCAAGGTGCAATGTACCTAGTTTTCTGACCTATGTCTATCAATGTTTTCATAATGTCACTGTGAAGTCTCTTTCTCAACTCTTCCACCCTAAGAAACCACAGCGTAGTTCCTGGTTTCAATACATTCAACTGACAAATTTTATAGCCGTGTTGGCCCAGGGACACCAGATCTATAGACTCCTGACCCAATTCTAAAAGCTTTACGCTTCAGGAGATGTACCTGCTCACCTTGTTTCTTCTCTCTATGGTTGCTTGATCACTCATGATGATCACCTGGGTGCATTGGAACAAAGAACTGAATACAGTCTTTACGGAAGACGACAGGCTTAGGGGTTTCTGTCCTACGCATAAATTATGAATGGCCTCCTCTATTCTGGAATGTAATTTCAAAATACTGACTCGTTGGCACCGTTCACCTTTTACCGTGCAGCAAATTCACCCTGAGAAGTTTGCCCTTTGTTGGCGGTGTCAAGTTGAGATTGCCTCTATGACCCATATCTGGCAGAGCTGTCCTTTAATCAAACCTTTTTGGCAAATGGTCTCACAAGTCTACACGCAGGTTACCCTTGTTCAACTTACTCCAGAGATGGCCCTGTTGTCCATTTTTCCAGGTTCAGCCTCTAAAATTAAGAAATCCCTACTCCATTTTTTTTATAAACGCAGCAAGAACCTTAATTTCTAGACACTAGAATTCTACTTTTATTCTCTCCGTGCAAGAATGGTCTGCAGAATTATGCCAACTTATGAGGTCGGAAAAACTAATAGCTCAGCGTACTGAACATTATGATTCTTTTAGGACTCTCTGGCTACCCTGGATTTTGTTTCTAGACTTTTTGTCTACACTGTGTATTTTGATTTTCTAGAAGTTTTGTAGTTCTCACATACAATAGGTTGACGCCTCTCCCCCTCCCTTCATTGTCCTACTATCTTTATTTCTTGGCCTTTTTCTGTTTTCCATTCCTGCTTTTTAATAGGAGTCTACTCCATGTGCACAAAAAAAGCAACAGTGTTCCAAGTGAGGATCTGGGTCTACTCCATGTGGTTGCATCCTGAACGTATGGCTGTCCCACCAAACAAACCTTAGCCACTTAGGAACGTATAGTCTTCTGTTGCTGGCGGAGTCTTAGTGCTTTACCCTTTGTATGTCTTCTGCTACTTAATTGACTCTTAGTCATGCTTAGAGTTTATTGGGCTGCTAAAATTAAAATGATTTATGTACCAAAACTAGGGGCATTGTTCTTAGGGGGTACGGGTGGTGTTTTATTTCCTTTTTTGGGCTCCTAGAAATTTCTTTTTTCTTCTTATTTTTTTTTTGTTTGTTGTTCATGTGTTCTTTCTGTTTTTTTCTAGTCTGTATGTAGTTGTTTTGTTTAGTAAAAACTGATTCCGTGAAAAAAATAAAATGTGGCACATGTAAACACAGCCTAAATAACTGGAGACTAAAAGGCATAACAATTTTACACATAGCAGAAAGATAAATAAACATACGTATGTGGTTCATTTGAAAACAGCATTATGATACAGCTCAATCATCTTTTACAGATATAAACAAGTAGCATTTGGACCTTACTAGGGACAAAAGATCTATGAAATATTAACTACTGCTCCCTAGCAAAGTGCAATCAATACATTTTTAATGCTCACTGTAATAAGTCTCTAAGATATAAAATTATTTTCTTGTGTAGTAAGGAGTAAGATGGTAAGGAAGGCCCTGCCCGTGAGAGCTTACAATCTAATCGATCTTAATGGGAAAGCACATGTGTGGGAGGAGTCTTATGTAAATAGCAACTTTTGCTGTCCTGCATGCTGTATTCTGCATGAGTAAAACTAAACCTTACTAAGTCACTGTTCTAGAGACTGCATACCGCATACAAGTCAGGGACTCAATGCGTCTATCAAAGCCTAAACAAACATGTTTTGCTTTGTGAGACTCCCTACTGCAACAGTTATGTACTGTCCGCAAACATCCCTTTAGTTGAGTGAATCCATCCTATTTATTGTAGTCATTGAAATACCACTATTATCATAAACAAAAAAGTATAATATATGCATTGTATGAAAAGTGTTACTAATACTGATTAAAGCTATGTCTGTAACAGTTTCCATACACCCACTAAAAAGAACTTTATAACATGTATTATGTTGCTTTGCTGTGCAGCCTGAAGCTTTACAGGCAAAGCTCCTGAATGTGAAAGGTGTAAACAGAATGACAGTAGATGGCTTTCTTCACAAGATCTGAGAGAAGATTGCCATCAGCTAGTTGCCATTTCTACGGATTACTAAAGGCTTAGGGGAAATTGCTTTAATTTATCTCAGTCTTCACAACAGCTTTACTAGATACAGTGTGCATTACAGTGTGCTCTCTGTAGCATACTTTAATACAAATGTGTTGCTTGCTGAATATTGACAGGCTGATTTTTTTTTTCACAACTAGAAGTGGTATGCTTACAATGCCGATACACTGATTTTTCAAAACTAATAGTACAGATTAAACACAAGCCAGCATCTGAAAGGTTTTGTCATAATCAATATCTCTAAAAATCTCTGTGACCAATTAGCAAGCCACCCCATATCTCAATGAAAAAAAAAATGACCCTCTCAACCAACAAGCTCTTTAGACAGATGCCTCCAGAGTCTGAATGAAAAGCGCTGTAGGACCAATGAACTGGATAATGACAAGTTGAAAAGGAGAGATCCGGCAGTCTGTGGACACCATCAGTAGTATAAAGATTTTATAATGTGTTAAAAACAGTTGGACAGTTTTGTGAGGTCAAAATATCATGGATGCCATGCTAGTGGTAGTGCTGAACATTACATAATAACCTCAATAGCTGTTGTACTCACCTGTGTAACTGTAAATATTCCCGTGGTCGATTTAATAAATGAAGAAATCTATCAACTATCTTGTTCTTTCCAACTCCCTGTTTATAAAGAAGTAGAAAAGTTACTTATCATTCATGACATAAGACACATTTGCAAAACATATCTATTTAAGAGATTCTGTCACAGCTGCCAAATCAGTGACGGTAGCTACCATTTTGCTAACATGAAACATTGTCTTTAAAGCACAAGTTTTTTATACATTTCAAAAGAACCATTTCCATAGACTTGAAAAGACAAATGTAGGCCAGCAAAGCACAGCATTTTCTTATAGGGTCAATGAACCAAATATTAAATTGTAGTTAGTTGTGGAGCATGTTGGGCTGAGTCAGCTTCTGGATTTTAATGTCTTGGATACTCTGTCAGTGAGACGTGCCATAGTTTCTTAATCTATTTATGTGCAACTGGAAGCATTCCCCAACCTTTGGGTGCTCCAGTTCTTTAGGGTCTATGCTCTGTAATATAAAATAAATATGAAATCCAACAAGAAGAGTGTGACTAATGGCCAAAGCAGGTGTGCTCACCTGAAAACTCAAACACAGAAAGCTCATTACTTATAACAGAGTCCTTGAGAGAAATTGATAAGCGATAAGAAAGAGATAAAGATAAGACATAGGAAATTGCCAGGTGGTATAAAGTGGTCCAAAAAAACCCGCTAGGAGGCAGTTTGTCATCTGCCCTTTGTTACTCTAGCAACTCTACTAGTAGTACTACAGTCTACTACAGTGTACACTCCTGGCACATTCCCACCATCTGTAAAACCAGCTTGTATGTATTGTAGAGATAAAGCAATAATTTTGCCACTTTATAGATCACTGGTTCCGCCTCATCTGGAGTATGCGGTCCAGTTTTGGTCACCAATCCACAGAATGGATGTCCTTGAGCTGGAGAGAATCCAGAGAGGGGCAACCAAACTAATTAGGGGGCTGGAGGATCACAGCTATGAAACAAGGTCCTAAATGTAATCTTGTTCATGCTAGAAGTGAGACGATTAAGAGGGGACATGATTTTGATGTACAAAATGTTTGGTGCTGATGGCAACATCAGCAATAAACCTTTTACTGTAAACTCCATAACAAAGACCAGAAGCCACCACCTAAAATTGGTGGAGAAAAGATTTAATCAAAAAGGGCGTGGAAGCTTCTTTTCAGTTAGATCAGTTAAATTTTGGAACTCTCTGCCACAAGCAGGAGTATCAGCAGAGAGTATTGAATAATTCAAAAAGCATTTAGATACCTTCCTCAGAGACCGTAACATACAGGGGTACAGGTACTCTTAAAAACAAGATCACACAGGGACTTGTGTACACATATACACACGCACAATCACACACACAAAGGTTGAACAAGTATGCACCCTGAAAGAAGTAAAGTTTCACTCTACAGCATCTACCACAACATGAAATACCAGCCCCTGAAACTATTTTGTTAGCATGGGATCATTCTGGTAGCACTTCTACATGAACCTGGAATGACTCTTTCTAACATGCCATAGCAGTTGCTCAGCCACTGGTAACAAAATAGAATTATGACCCTTGGGATAAGTTAACAATTCCTGCTCAAAAATGTGTTTCTGAGCTTATGATATGGTGACCTGATTCTCATATAGTACTGCAGCATGGGGGTCTGCAGCATGGGGGTACTGTGATTCTTGTTTAGGGCCCCTTTTTGGTTAAACTAGCCTGTTTACCATGAATCATCTTGGTTTGAGAGACAACTATCCTAAATAACTTGTTTCTTTAATTTAACGTTTGACAGTTTTATTTAAGTGCACTACTGTACATTTGATACAAAATAAAATAATAATGTCTTACTATATTTTTGTGTTCACATATTGCCCCAGTATTGGAAAATCATATAATGTGCATTAGTAAGGTTTAGGAAAATGTACAAGTAATAGGACATCATTTTGAGCGTCTTTACCGTCCTGTGTTTTAAAAAAACCATTAACATAATAAATAGCGTTATCCTGGGAAAATACATGCATTTGGTCTCTGAAGTCCCCTTCTTAACATGCACTTTTCTGGCAAAGTATGATAATGTCCTTTAAATGGGATTGAATATTTAAATTAAGCCTGTGAAATCCTTACATTTTGTTGATGCACTCATTTAATTACCGAGAGTGAGACAGAAGCTGAGACAGAAGCTTAAATGCTTATTTGTTCCAACTTGAACACTGCATTATTGCTTACTCACAAAAAGTATGTAATTTATCATTAATCTAAAGAATAACAACAGATTTTGAAAGAGAAAGAAAAGTAAAAAAGGATTCTCCTACTAACTGTAGAATCCTTTCTTGAATGGCAAAAACAGAGATCTGGCCCTTGATGGTATTAAGGACAAAACAGTGGTCCAGACCCAACTGCTCTGCCCTTACAAAGAAACTCTTGGGGTGAAAGTCTTTGGAAAGTCTTAAATCAGCAGAGCTAAGAAAAGTCAATCCTCCTAGGAAAGTAGGAAAAGGCATGCTGGTAGTAGGAGGGATTATCCTAGGGCTGACCTACAGATTTTTTGTTTGCTGGTGTCAAGTCCTTTTGTAGGTGGCAGTATAACCGGAAGGTTTAAGATTTTCTGTATTCCTCAATGGATGAGAAAGAAAACATATATTAGCACATAAACACTGTAGGGGAATTTCTCAAAACTGGAGCAGACAAAATCTGGAGCAGATTTGCACTGCAACCAATAAGCTTCTCTGTCTCATTTTCAAATCTTACCTGAGCAAACTGAAAAGAGATGTTGATTGGTTACCATGGGCAACTGCTCCAGATTCTGTCTGCTCCAGTTTTGATAAATTCCCCGTGTATGTGCTATGGTCCAACAGGATGCAGGTTCCTATTGTAGGACTGCATAGGTCACAGTCTTCTAATCTAGTTCAGTAAGATCTAGGAACAGCAAATACAACAAATAGTACAGGAAGACACAAAGGAATAAGGTAAACTTTCCTAGACCACTCGTTGCAGTAGGTTGTACCCAGCGAATAAAAGAATAACTGCCCAAATGTATTCTGGTAGAAATTCAGCTTAATTTACACGGTACAGTGCTGTAGAATGCACAAAAAATGACAACATTTTTACCAGAAATACATTTTGGCATCATTTATCCTACGGCACTATTCAATACACTAATTTAAAAAAATGTATGCATAAATGTACACATTAATATTTAATATGGTACAAAACAGAGACTGCAATAAATACTGCATGGAATAATGTGCAGCAATAACATTACTAAACCCAGCTAGTAATGGTACTTAGATACTAAAGAAAAAACTGTTTAAAATAATATACAACTCCATTACGTGCTATTTGTATCTAAAATGGCCACATGGTGTATTCCTTTCATAATTTTATACAAATGACTATCCTTTCTGTTAGGGATGCACCGATACTGGGCATTTTCACGAGTACTTGTACTCGTGAAAACGCCCTGATACTAAGCGATAATACCGGCGCTTTAAATGTTTAAACACGAGCGGCTTCCTGAGGTCCAGTGCTTGCTGGGGACCTCAAGTAGCCTGCTGGGGACCTCGCAGTGGCTGTCTTTTCCAGCGCCACTCCGGCCGCACATTTCCTCCTCCTCCTTCCCGCCAGCAGCACTCGCCTGAGCAGTCATGGGGAGACCCGGAACAGCCCTGGTGAGACCCACATGCAGCCCTGGTGAGATTGCACAGCCATGGTGAGACCCATACATAGCCTGGTGAGACCGCACAGCCCTGGTGAGACTGCACAGCCCTGGTGAGACCGCACAGCCATGGTGAGACCCACATGCAGCCCTTGTGAGACCCATACACAGCCCTGGTGAGACCCATACACAGCCCTGGTGAGACCGCACAGCCATGGTGAGACCCACATGCAGCCCTTGTGAGACCCACATGCAGCCCTTGTGAGACCCATACACAGCCCTGGTGAGACCAATACACAGCCCAGGTGAGACCGCACAGCCATGATGAGACCCTTATGCAGCCCTGGTGAGACCCGCATGCAGCCCTTGTGAGACCCATACACAGCCCTGGTGAGTCCACATGAAGTCCTGGGTGAGACCGCACGCAGGCGTGGTGAGGCCGCACGCAGCCCTGGTGAGACCGCACGCATCCCTGGTGAGACCGCACGCAGCCCTGGTGAGACCGCACGCAGCCCTGGTGAGACTGCACGCAGCCCTGCAAATCCTCCCAGCCCAGGTAAGCAACACAGAGTATGTTGCTTAATATTAATCTGCATTGCTGTATAATGGATTTCTTGGATTTATAGTCCTCTATAGCTGGTGGTATTCAGCATTGCTGTATAATGTGTTGGTGGGATTTGTAGTTCTCTATAGCTGGTGTTATTCTGCATTGTTGTATACTGCATTGCTAGTCCCTCCTAAAATTCCTACCACACCATAAGGGTCTGGTATGACTTTAGGGGGAAACCCCACCATTTTTTTCCAATGGGATCCCTCCTAACATTCCTACCAGACCTAAAGCGGCATGTATTGTTTGGGAGGGGGAACCGCACGCTTTTTTTGTTTTTCTTTACAAATGTAATTTTTTCTGCAGCAGGTTCTATACATCGTACAGATGTGCCACTTTGCAGGCAGTTTAAGGGGACCCCCCAGGTATGATATTTAAAGGAATTTTTCATTTTTATTGTTTCACTTTAAAAGATGTTAAAATCACTGCTCCTTTAAAAACTGTGTTTTTTTTTCATTATTTATTTTTTATTGGTTCATGTCCCCAAGGGCAGTACCCGAATCCCCATACACTTTTTATAGCCAATAACTTGCATATAAGGCTTCCAAATGGGGACATTTGATTTTCAAAGTTCTAGCCCCATAGACTTGCATTGAGTTTAAATTCGAACTTTTTCCATATTCTAAAGTTCAAATTCGAACCGACGGCAACATCTACAAATCTAAAGCTATCATGGAAAAACTTCACTCACTCATTTGAGCTTAATCAAAGCCAAAGGCGTCTGCTACATACAGTTCTGCAGGGGAAGGAGCTATAATGGGACTGACTCACAGCACAGGGGACCTGAAAGAAGCAGGGCATGTGACTAGAGGAGCACTGGAGAGACTCAGGGAAAGCAGGTCCACTACAAAGGGTACCAAAGAAAGACAGTGTGTTGAATTAGAAGTACCTGGCCATTCAAGCGGAGAGCAAAATGGTGTGTTCATAACATTCAAATTGATTGTTCAAAAACCCTAGATTAAAAAACAAAAGGCCTAGGCAGGTAAACAGTGTCAGCTTTATTCTTCTAGTGCGAACATATTCTGTTACTTTGTGCAGACTAAGTAAAAGATGCAAAGGTTTCACTTGTTAAAGCTAACATGACATACTGCATACAAGTTGTGTGGGTGCGTGTAAGGTAAGCATTTATTCACAGGCACATCAGACAATCTGTCTGCTATGGCAGATGAACATCCAGTAAGCTGTATGAATCAATTTAGGTTTTACAGAGCACTGCATCTGGGACACATTTACTTTGAGATAATGCTAAAACATAAAATAAGTGATTCTACTCTGTTTAAATTGTCCTCCAGGCTGTCCCATCATAATTCCCTACATTTGAGCAAAGAATCCAGTGACATCAATAAAACCTACATTTAGCTGCTATGCTGCTTCTTAGTAGCACAAGTTTGAGGATGAGAACAGGTATTACATAATACTGTACTATGCACTGGGTCTTCGGACCGTTTGCTAGATCAAAGAGCAGTGAAGTCATCTAAAGTTCACATACAGAAGTTACAAGACTTGGGTATGAAGGAAGCTAAATTGTAAGTTTCAATCAATGGGCATGCTCTTGCTAGTTCTAATCATGGGCCTTCTTTAGCCTACAGTTGCAGCTAGAGATGAATAAAGGGGGCTATAAACCGTTCAATCTTGGAAAGTGACACAGGCAATCTGAATCAATCTAAACTTACAACAATGAAACAAGGATCAGAATACACTAGGGGGTTGCTAGAGTCAATAATAAGCACTTTGTTAACTCTTGTTGCACACAGATTTATCAACTTTCTGGGAAACCATTGTGTAAAATGAATGCTTCTGTAAACATCAAAAGCAAACTCACCTGATTTCCCACCAGCAATAAATGTTCACCAAGAAGAAAATCTTTCAGCATGTCTTCCATAACCCTCATGTGCTGCAAGTACAAAATATATAAAGTTTATAATGCACATCTTAGAAAAGGACCCTTTATCGTAAAGGGTAACACATTAGAAAATGTACCAACAGCAATGTACAACTATTAACTGCTTTAGCTACTCTGACCACAAGAGCTTATCACTGCAATTTGCACTTTCTTCTTATGTTTCTTTCCATAGCATATAACATATCAATGAATAAACGAAACCTGTCATCATGGAAAAAAAACATTACAGTGAAAAGCATTGGTACAGGAACAGTCTTCTTAACACATCTATTACAAAAGAAACTTTTTATGCTTACCAACAACAGATCTCATGCATTCATCTGCTGCTACAATTTCACCATGGCAGATTCTCTAAACCAAATCATCACTACTGACTTGAAAGGTAAAGGTGAATAACTGTGGGAGTTATTCACAAAGCTGCCTGAAGGCAGCCGAGTAAATAACCAGGCTGAAGTGAAGTGAGCCAAACAACATTCAGCTATTCACTACGGCTGATTTCAGCCGTACATCGGCTGAAATCAGCCATACATTGGCTGCCTTCGGCTGCACTTTGGTCAGCCGAAGTGCAGAAGGACTTCGACATCTGGATCGGCTGAGCTGAAGCACCGGCAGCTCACACACTGCCGTTCGCCCCTATTCACATGGGGCTGAACGGCAGTAAGTGAATAGCCGATGTGCTGCCAGGCGACATTCAGCTTGGCTATTCTGCTCGGTACCTCTGCGGTACCGAGCAAAATTGCAAATCAATGAAAAGTGTTTTTTAAAAAAGTTTAAAAAAATATTTTTTAAAATGTAAATAAAAATTAATTTAAAAAACAATTGGGCGGAGCTAGCAATGACAGCTAGCTCCGCCCAACTGTTTCCTATTGGCCTGCACCTTCTAGAGTGTTCTAGCAGGTCCCAGCCAATAACTGGGCGGAGCCGGGCCATGACGTCACGGCCGGCTCCACCCAGTTGTTATTGTTTAAGGATGATCTGTCATTACAACTGGGGGAAGGCAGCACGTGACATTATGGCTGGCTCCGTTCAGCTGTCATTTGCGGGGTGAAAGGCCGGCCTTCGGCAGGCTGTTCGCCCTGCTTTGGGTGTCAATGCGGCTCAGTCCAGCCGAAAGCATATGCCTTCGGCTCAGCTGAGCCGCTCGGCCGCTGTACGGGCTATAGAGAATAGCCCATACCGCAGCCCTTCGGTTCAACTGAACCGAGGGGCTCTGGCGGGCCAAAGAGAGCCGAAGGATCAGCCGAAGCTACAGCTGGATCCTTCAGCTCCCACGTGAATAACACTCTATATATTTATTGAAATATAGAAACAAGTTCATGTTTTCCCCATACTGTGCAATATTAATGCCAATACATTAAAGTGAACCTACATCCAAGAACAGACATTCTAAATACTGGAGCTTACCAGCTCTTAGATATGGTGGCTACTTTATTTTTTTCTTCAGGCTTTTCTATTTCAAGTTCAGCTGGAATTCTTGCTAGTAACACGTTTCCTGACCTAATGTGACAACACTTACTCACAATATTGTATCAATGGAGGAACAGCGCTGCCGCATTAGTACAGGGTGTGAGAGCACTACAGTAAACCTCCCCCTTCTCCATTATATGGGGAAAGTGCTTTGTAGTCCAAAGAGAGAACATTGGGAGCAACGCAACCTGATAACAGTCAGCACAGGGAGATAGCACAAGACGTCATCAGCTCACAAGATTTCTGTATGAGTAAGTTGTACTCTTTTGGACTGCTGAAAGCCACCATAAGCATGGCTTACCCATAGGAATGAATGAGGCCGTAGCACACGTGCACTAGAAGGAAGCCCTGGCGGGAACATTTTCACTGGAAAGGCTGCTCGACTGGTAGGCTGGGCTGCAAAGCAAGGAACCCTAGATTGAGGAGGAACGTAAGTATTTGAGATGCTGCAATTTAGGGAGTGAGAGGAATTATTTAAAGACAGTTATTCAGTAGGTTCAATTGTCCTTTATTGACCAAAATCTGTGACAATTACATTTCAGATTTGGTAATAATTTGAGTGCTAATTAAAAAAAGTAAGACTTTGCGATCTAGGTGCATTACCAAATATGCCAAATATATATTAATAGTTTATTTAAAGGAGAACTATGAGGCGAGTGAAAATCACTCAGCCTCATAGTTATAGCCGACGTGTGACAATGAAACTGTCACATGTCGGCTCAATAGATCGGGAAGTGAGAGAACACATACCGTCGCTCGCTCACTTCTCGATCCTGTCCCTGCAGAGAGCTGTGACTGTCACTCACGGCTCCCTGCAGGGATTCCCCCCTCCCCTGTCCGATCCTCCAGCGCTGACTGGCGGAACGGACGGGGGAGGGGGCGGGTACAGCTGGCTCTGCCTCTAGATAGGCAGCGCCAGCTGTCACTCACGCAGCTGGGTGGATCCAGACAGTAATGTCGGGATTCGTCCCGGTTGCGGCGTCTCAGTATACCGCGAGCTGCAGCTCGTGGTATACTGAGCTTTGGGTGACGGGAGGACGCTAGTTTGTGTCCTCCCGTTACCCTTAGGAGAACTATGGGGAAAAGCCCTGACCCCATAGTTCTCCTTTAAAGCAAAAATAAAAGAAGTTATGTGAGTCACATATGCAAAATTATACTCCATAGGGATTGATATAAGGACTGCTTTATCCTATAAGCAATATCCAAATTAGAATGTCTGCAATTAAAAAATGTTCACTAAATCTGGCCTAAAAGCCCAAGTTGTAGGTGAAGCACAGTGCAATGCATTTTATTCCCCACGCTGTTGAGAAAAATGTGTCACTAATTACAAGTAGCAAGATGCCGCCAAAATGTGAGCTGACCCACTTCCCTCTTGTTGCTGTGTGTTGTATTACCTTGAGGACAATATCACGCTCAGATAAACAAATTAGTAGGCTTAGCTGCTTGCATATATATTGAAAAACTAATCTCTATGTGACTGATGCACAAAATGCAGTGGTTTTGTATGTGTCCCTCCACCCCCTCAGTTTTATCTCAAGCCAAGTGATGCTTTCAGTGGAGGAACAAGAAACAGGTCATGTGGAAGTAGGTCAACCAAAGTCCTTAGAAAAATAGTGCTTGTCAGTGCTGATGAGACTTGGCTACCCACTGTATAAGTGATTTAACATCATTCATCACAATCAACAAGTTATTACCTGTGCCAATAAGAAAAAACCCTCCATTTTTCTCTGAGCATTGGAGAATCTGCACGACTGCACATCTTAGGAAATTTCGAGACATTAAGCTTAAGGCTTTTTGATCCAAATGAATATTCTATCAATCTTACTGTTTTTTTTCTCTTTATTTGAAGTCATATTAAGTGTATTTCTAGAAACAGTTGCATCTGATTAATGTAATGCAGACATTGCAGACATCCGTGATATCTAAACAAATGCTGTAACATGAGCATTTTATTGCTATCTTTTTCATGCAAATATAGTGCACGTAAGATATATATTAAGACAGATATTCAAAGGAAAACTTCAAAATAATGTTTTTATATCTAAACAGTTCAATTTGGAAAATCTAATTGTATGTTCTAAAAAAATAACTATTGTCTTACTGTTTTTAGGGTCTATTTAGGTCTAACAGTCACTTGGATAGAGTCCCTTAAAAAATCCATCATGTATGTTGTGGTTGACAGGTTTGCCAGGGAAAGTCATTTGCTTAGTAAAGGCAGGCAGTATAGGAAGAGGTACAATATTTTTTACAATACATTTGCCACATTTATAGTGGCGATGTGCAAATGTATACTGCACTTCTGAAGCCTCTAAAGTATAATCAAAGCCAACATTAGGGAGACTTCCTTTACTTCCTGTCTTGTAGAATCAACAGGAAGTGAAAAGATAACTTTCCAATGTCAAGATATCCTTCACAAGATGAGGTGTCTCCATTGGATCCTATACTACTATGCTGGTGGCAACTCAAAATGTTGGATTTGCCCTCACTTTCATTCCTGGTGACATTGGTGATCAGGACAGTAAGAGAATAAATCTAGGTACAAACAGATCGAATTTCTGCCAATTCAACAGGAATCATTGACATTTGATCTGTGGGTGGCCCTATCTCCTTCACAAAATTCGACCATTAGATCAACTTTTGTCGAAGGGACATGCTAGAAAATTGTCAGGCGAACAGTGCTTGCTGCCAATCAATTGTTCAGGTATTCTCACAGTGGTGTGTGACGCTGTCAGAATACAATGTAAAAAGCAGGAGATTAATTCATCCACACTGTGTGTGTATCCAGATTAAACCTCCCTAACGGGGGCCCACACAGCAATATAAACCTGACAGTGGTTCCATCAGCTCATCACTATCCTAATCTAAAATATTTTACCTCTAATCATACTTCAATTTCTGATTTTCAACAGAAAATGTCCAGCTGTGTCAGCAATAAACTGCTTTTTATATATTAAAACGTATGCAACACAACAGGTTCTGCATGAGTTTATGGCCCTTAGACTTCATAATCAGGTATTGGTTAAAGTGTATTGTCACTTTTGCAGCCGAGTTGGGATAACACCTTTATTATTTGTTACATTTTCTATTCACATAGCAAAAGCTAAAAAAAATATTAAAAAACACTTCTTGCAGTTTAAATTGCTTTTACTTGGGTTAAGATTTTTTGGGGGCTTCTTACGGGTTAAATTTCTACTTGCTTCTCTTTCTTTTGTAATATTAGGAGGGTCTGTGAGGGGTGAGGGTCTGTGAGGTGTGAGGGTCTGCTCCATTGTATGTTATTGAAATTAGTGAAAGAAACACAATACTCAAATTTCAGTCCTAAGTCTTTCTATAAGGACAGAAAACTGTGATGGTGCTCAGAAAAGAACCTGGAATCAGCCATGTTGCCTGCTGCAAATAAATATATATTCTTCTATATGCTGTTTGAATAGATACACCTTACAAATATTTATTTGACTGCAAAAGTGAAAATATGCTTTAAGGGAGTAATCAGACCTATTTTCAAGTGGATTTTCAATATGTGGATCAACACAATAAAAATAAGCAATGAGTGAAAAGTGACATTCATGATTATAGAGTTATACACTGTATACTACATACACACCACATGCATGGACTGCATGGACATTACTACACACCTGAGAGTTCTCATAGAACAGGATGTCTGGAACTTTCATCTTCTCATTTGTATTAAATACTGGTACAGTCACACTTCCAAGCCTTAGTATGCCCGATTTTATTTCATCTAAAAAACAATGCATTAGTAGTCTGTTAACCCAATGTTTATCAATTGATACACATGGTCTCATATTTACAGTAGAACTGTATTCAAAATAATAGAAAAAATAAGCAATGAGCATCAAAGCTCCAGATAAGCGAAAAGCGATACTCCAGATGGTGATGTTCAAATGGCACCTTTTGGGTTTTTTTTAAATCACTTGAGGTCCGCAGCAACAAGATCTACCTGTCATAATTGCTGGCTCTGTTGCACCTATCTTGGCGTTTCAGCTTTTCCCACTCCTCTCCTCCTATTATAATAAGAATTGAAATGGAAATCTAAGAGGGGACGTTGGAAGCACCTAATAGGCACTCTGTCGAGTGGATAGACCTTGAACCTGGAACAGAACTCACCAATAAGTCAGTGAGAAGCACTACTGGTTGGTTTAATGCACTAGCATATACCAAATAATGAAGTATAAAGCTAGCCATACACCTATAGATTATCTGCAGATTTTCTATGGTCAGATGGAAAAAGTGCAACAGATTCCTCCATCCACACAGTTTAGCGTAGTGGATGGGCCAAGCTTCAGTATCTTGTTAGTCGGCCCTGCTGACTCTCAAAATACCTGAACAATGCCTGCATCCATTCAGAATGTTCAGGTATTTTGACAGCCAGCATGGCCGACTAGCAAGATACTGAAGCTTGGCCAAGCGAGAGATTCCTCCATCCACGCAATTTAGTGTAGATGGAGGAATCTGTTGCACTTTTTCCATCTGACCATAGGCTGATTGAGAACAATCTATAGAAAATCCATAGGTGTATGGCCAGCTTAGGTCTTGGGTTTTCTAACCTGTTTAAATTACAAAATAAGCCAACTGTTTATAACAACTGTTTTGCCTGCTAATGGATTTGTAAAAGAATGCAGAAACACATACAATTCAGATACCATTACTGTAGTAGACAAATCTTATTCCACATATTTTAAATAGTGTGATGTAGATCTCTCTCTGATGTACACAGTATGATCCTAAAGGTTTAAATGTACCAATACATGTATTAGTATTTTCATATGAAAAATAGTGACAAATAATTGAATTCTTGAGTGACATGTAATGTAAAAAAAGTGGGGTGGACACTGGTTTTAGTTTAGACACTTCCAATTAATTCTCTATATTAAAACTCATCTCCAGACAGAACAAAAAAAAATCACCTCTAGTACCTAATCCATTGTTTGAAAAAAATAGAAAAACTACATAAAAGCCCCAAAACTCCAGACATGTGACAGTCTGGGTCCCAGTTCTCCTTTCCATAGTGTGGGAGGGTCTGGAGGGCAATGAGAATGCCCAATGGCTGTCACAATTGTCCATCACAGAATCCTCAAGCCTTCCACCGTAGCTGTGGCCGTGCAATTGCAAATTGCATTGAAGTCTTTGGAAGCTGTTCACACCTTTGCGATTTGTCGCGCAGTAGAAATCACCTGCCACGCAAAAAGGCGCAGGAGCTATTTTCGGGCGATTGTCGTGCGTTTTGGGTCCATAGACTTGCATTGAAAAATCGCATAGGTTCAATAGGTGATTTTGGAGGGATAATTGTGTGATTACAGAATGAACTCAGAGTTTAGGGCTTTTTGTTTATTTTTAAACCACACACTGGATGGGTGCAGATGGACCGGGAACAGGTTGTTTTCTTGTTTTTACTGGGAGATGTGCTTTAAGATAGGCCACTGTAGTGATAATACAAAATTCCCTAAACAAAAGACAAATGTCATAAAAGTACCCTTTAAAGGATCCACATTTTTAAAAGATAAATGATCACACATATTTTTGGCTAACAGAAGCATAGTGAAATTAGTTAATTTGAAAGTGCTGAACTAAAGATAAATGAACACAGTAAGGTAGTTATATAAACCAATAGGGCATCTTACAACTATATTCTCTGTTTTCCATCCTTTCTAGCTCCTCACTGGTTTGCTCTATTCCCGAGTCCAGTAAATATTTCTGTAAAGTTGATCTAGCAAGATTTGGTAAAAATCTAGAAAATTAAAAAAATAAAATAATAACAGACTTAAATAAACATTTTCTTTGTTAAATTGAGAAAAATATACATGCAGGATAAAATAAAAAAATGTAAAATTAAATCTTTAAAAAAAAGCTAGCAAATAAAATAAAGATTAGTTCTAGCATTAGCGGTGTCAATAATTGTCAATATGATTTTCTACTATCAGGGTGGGGGAACTCCCTTGCAATGGCTGTGTCAGAGTGTGCCAGCCAAGAAACTCAAGTGGACTGATACACTTCAGAGATTCAATGAAAATTGATTTGCAGTGTACCTCTGTCCCAGAGACCATTATTTCAGTGTTTTCACTGCAATCAGACCTGTGCTGACAAATAACCCTTAGTTGCTGTAATGCAGGTCCTAAAATTTACCATTACAGGGTGTAGGTAACATCAACTGTACATGCCTGTACTCCAGTTCTAGCCGTTTACATATTTTTTTTTTAACAGGCAAAGGTTGTTTAAATGATAAGAAATGTAATTTTGGAACACAATCTCGGTGCAGACTAATAACTCTCTGCATATCAAACTACTGCACATCTGTTAATAATTAAGACTAAGTGCATTTATACAGAACAGGCACTGGAATGATGCTTCTTCTTGCCTAACAAATCTACTCCACTGTCACAATGCTTTGAAGGCCAGAGTACATACCTTGAAAGGCACGCCTTGTTAACAGCATGATAAAGACTCTCATCTGGGTACTTTGATAACCTTCTACATATGCGAAGTAGCTGTCTTGTAGATAAGGATGAAGCTAAAGACTGAGTCTGCCAATGAAGAAGAATATTTACAAATGTTTTATTTTGGTCACCATCACATGGTAAGCTTAGAACATAAAATAGGATTTTGGTACTCACCGTAAAACCCTTTTCTCTCCGTTCATTGAAGGACACAGGGAACAGATCGGAGATCATGTACTGTAGGGTAATATCGCCACCTGCAGGAGAAGGACGCTAGGCACAAAAAAACTAAAGACCAATTACAGCCTAGGGGCGGCCCCTGCTGGTGGCCAAACCCCCCACCTGCTGACAAGTCTCCAGTTTAGTAACAAGCAGTAAAGGAGTACACACCCACACAGAGGGGCGGGCCCTGTGTCCTTCAATGTACGGAGAAAAGGATTTTACGGTGAGTACCAAAGTCCTATTAATAGCATACGCCTGAGAGACCGTGTCGCGAATCCATCGAGAAATGGTAGCCGACGACAAACATGGAATCCGATTCCCGAAATGCAGCCGTAGCACTCAGGTAAACCCGGATGGCGCGGACCACGTCCAGACAGTGCAGTGCCCTCTCCTTCCTGTGGACAGGCTTCGGACACAAGGAAGGCAGGACAATGTCCTCATTGAGATGGAAAGCCGAAACCACCTTCGGCAAGAAAGACGGCCGAGGCCGCAGAACCACCTTGTCCCGATGCAGGACCAGCAACGGGGACGAGCAAGAGAGAGCCGCCAATTCCGAAACCCTGCGGATCGAGGTGACCGCCGCCAAAAAGGCCACTTCTTGAGAGAGAGTCAGAATCGGAATGTCCCGCAGAGGCTCAAAGAATGTAAGAATACCGAGAAAAAATTCTTAGCTCCTTACTCCTGACGCTAGGCAAAAAACTGGAGACTTGTCAGCAGGTGGGGGGTTTGGCCACCGGCAGGGGCCGCCCCTAGGCTGTAATTGGTCTTTAGTTTTTTTGTGCCTAGCGTCCTTCTCCTGTAGGTGGCGATCTTACCCTACAGTACATGATCTCCGATCTGTTCCCTGTGTCCTTCAATGAACGGGAGAGAAAAGTGGTTTTCCCCTACCAAAAAACATAATAGTGGTTATAATGGCTTTATCCTAAAAACAGTCACTGTCTAATATAAGCTACATGATAATTTAAAGGACATTAAGTGTTCAATGTGCATATAAACATCTTGCCAAAGAATATTGGTCACTGGTTAACAATTGTTTATTTATTAAACAATACCAACCCATGTGACATAGGCCTACTAAGCATGGTGAAGAAGCAAAGAGAAGGACTCCTGTAAGGGACCTAACTATACTGTATACCAAAAGTGATTTGAGATGAAAATGATGCCTAGAGCCTGAAATGTAAACTATTAAGAGGGCACAACCATGTAAGCAAGTATCTAGGGTCAAGAAAACATCAAGCCGAAGCTGTCAAGGATGAATGAGACTAGACACTGAAAGTACAGAACAAGGCACAGCCCAAGTTATCCACAAAACTGGAGGGTGTAAAGGAGAGAGAGAGACTTGATACCCAAAGGCTCATCCCTCAGTACAATATCCAAAGAGGAGCACTTAAAGAAGAACTCCAGGATGCACATGACTTTATATATTTAGGTCCTCCTCGGTCAGAGGAAGCAAACTGCTGTAACAATTTAAGATACAATTCTTACTTTTCTTGTACTCCTCATTTTTAGCTGCCAGTGACATCACATCATCTTATTAGATCAGTTCTTCCTGCAGCTAGTGGGAGGATCTAGGTAACCAGTGCGTGTCTTATCCTGGCATAGAGAGTCGACTACATCTCCCATAAGGCATTGTGAAATAGACAAAGTGGGAGGTGTGTATAGGCAGAACTGAAGGTGGGGATGGGAAGAGCTACAAAGAGTGCACACACAGGGAATAGAGAGTAAGATACATTTGAAAGGGCTCAGTGTTGAATCAATAGGACAGCAGCACTGGTAATATGATTCTAGAATGAGAGAGGTCATCCCCTCCCGGCAACCAATCAGCCAGCTAACAGTACACTGAGAATCAGAACTTACAACAGTTCTCAGTCAATAGTACACTAGTACACTGAATCAAAGAATCACATGAATCTCTAGTAGAACCCAGTACACTGAAAGAATCAAAGAATCATAGTAGAACACATCATCTAGTAGAACACAGCAGTGGTAAGGGACAGACAGCCTTGCAGGGAGATAATAGAGATGGCTCCCATAGTATGAATGAGTGAAGATCCTCATTTAGGCAGGTACTTTAACCCTTTAGGTTGAGTCAGCTCCTGAGCTTCAGTTCACTTGCTTGTCAGCAGACTCATCAAGTGAACCGATGAATCAATTCATTAATCAGTTTATTTAAATGAACAGTTTGAAATGAACCAATTCCTGTAAAAGATCCAAATTTCCCATCACTAGTGTGGAACAGGAGCATGTTTTACACAGAGTTCCAGCACCGCCCAGTCTCAGGGAAGGAGCTATGCACTGAGAGTGGGCAGGGTCAGACCAGCAGTCTAAGACTTCCATACTCCACCCACTTGCAGTGTGTGCTGGCTGCAATAGAACTACAGGGGGGAGGTTATAAGACCACTGGTTAGGCTGATAGACCACTAACCACTGTGCAGTCTAAAGCTGGCCATACACCTTACAATTATCTGCAGATTTTCTGTGGTCAGATGGAAAAGGTGCAAAAGATTCCTCCATCTACCATTAACTGTGTGGATGGAGTAATATCCACCTCGGCCAATCTGTTGCACCTTTTCCATCTGACCACAGAAAATCTGCAGATAATTGTAAGGTGTATGGGCAACTTAACAGAAAGCAAATGAGGGAGGCAGAGGGCAGGAAGCACAAGCTTGTACCATGGATTTCTGGAAGATTACATTGCTACGCAGAAAGGTAAGCACATATTTTTAATACTTCCAAAAGCTAGTAACAGTAGGCTGGGAAAAAAAGAAATTCCCCAGAGTTCTTTAAAAAATGATTGATGCTGGGATTTGAGAAGGGATATTGGAAAGAAAAGGTTTCTATTTTGTTCCTGTTAAAACATTAGCTTTGGAAGGGTTGTCATTTCGCTTTATTTTTTTGTATTTTCACCATGAACGATGCACCTGTGTTCTGGTATGTCCAGGGGTTGGCAAAATCCACTATCAAAACAGATTGGCAAAATCATTCTATCATAAACAAAGATCCATAATTCCCTATGCTCACCATCAAAACAGGCAAAAATAAGTCAAGGTAAGATGATGTGTCATTACTTAAAAGAGAACTATGGGGGTAACCTTTTTATCTCATAGTTCTCTTTAGGGTCATTGGAGGACATATACTAACGTCCTCCCGTGACCCAAAGCTCAGTATATAGTGGGAAATACTGTTGAGATCCACCCATCTGGCTGATTGACAGCAGGGTCTGGCTATCTAGAGGCAGACTCGGCTGTGCCCGCCCTCTCCCCCGTCCATTCCTCCAGTCAGGAGGATCAGAGAGGGGAGGGGGGAATCCGTGCAGGGAGTGGAGACTGAGAGTCACCGCTCTCTGCAGGGAGATGATCGGGAAGTGAGCGAGCCGACGGTATGTGTTCGCTCACTTCCCAATCAATAGAGCCGATGTGTGACATTGAAACTGTCACATGTTGACTCTAACTGTGAGGATGAGTGTAAATCACTCTCCTCATACCGTAGTTCTCCTTTAAGTTCTTAATATGTTTGATACTTTTTGTCAAAACATTAAACAAAGTCTTCTGCTGTGAAATTACACTAGAAACAGGTGTTAGGCTAAAAATAAAATAAATAGACGTCAACAATTGAAATTTGGGACAACATATTCAGCACAAGTAAATTTTCAGTGTTCTACTTTGAAACATCTAAAAATAAGCACGGACAGACACCACTTCATACTGATAGGCAAGATCCAAGTCTTAAACCTGCAGCCCTAGTTATTTTTACAAGCCCTTCTTTTTTAACATTTGGCACTCTTTGTTCCTAATGAATAACATGTGTCTGTATACTTAATTGTCCATTATATTCACTTCTTACTTCCCATATTAGAACAGAGCACTCCAGATCACTAAGCGAAATGTCTGAGTAAGAAAAAGAAATTGGCTGGCCTATCAAATTCAATATAATTGTGATGATAAATGCAACAGACAAATTCAAATAAACATATAAAACATACATTTTTTACTTGCAAATAAAATAAAGATGTTAATAACAATAAATGCTATAATTATTATTAGAGAGCATGAAGACTAGATTCTCCATTACCTCTACAAAAAGTTGAAAAAATACTTTTTATACTTTTCATTTCAATCCTATTCTAGCCTTGTCATCCTGCAGGTTTCATAAAAAGAAGTTGCACAAGTTTAAAATGGATAATATGTGCGGTTCCGAGGTCTATTCAAACATACTTGCATATACTAATGAAATTTACTTTTAAAGAAGAACTCCCTTTGTGCTTAGTTAAGTAAGAAATAGAAAAGAACAAAGTGATAGGCATATCCCTGTGGTAGGGGTTAATTACTGTTTAAATGTTTTATTTTTTATTTTTTTAGTGTGTTTTTCTTGTGGTGATTGTTGATTTCTTTAGACCGATCTACCTGTTCGTTTGAATTCCATGCATATAACTGCAGAGATATGGGACTGTAAGATCTTGTCTCGTCCATGTGTTAATTTCGTGTATGTGTGTAAAAATGAAAATGTCAATAAATACTACCTGATTTAAAAAAAAAAAAGAAGAACTCCAGGAATAAAAATGTATTAACCCTTTCCTGGGTGGCTACCCCCATACTGGGAGGGTTAAGTGCTCATTTGTGTCTAGGTGCTAAAATTTAAAAAAAATTAAAAAGTTATGCTCATTAGACCATCCGAGTCAGCTTGTTCTTGACCGGTGTCTAAAACGTCTCTCCCCCTCTGCTGCAGCTGTCTAAGGATCCTGGTGTCGTCACGTTCTATACACTGTGTAGACTGTGTATAGACAGGAGGATGCTGAAGACCAGTACATCTGTGCATCTGGGGAGTATACCTTCTTTTTAGCACCTAGACAAAAACAATCACCTAACCCTTGCAGTGTGGGGGTATCCAAACTGCAAGGACTAATAAAAAAAAGTTCTGGCATTCTTCTATAACATTATACATTTAACTAATGTAAATACTTGAACAGGATTGGCTGAACTGTCTGCCAGAATCAAGACAGGCTAAAGATAATTGCAAATATGTGGCAGGAAAAACAGTTCTCATGTATGTATTTCATCTGTCATTTAGCTGCTTACCTGTGGCCTGTTTTAAAACTGCAAGTAAATAGCGCCTCATTACAACACACACAATATGATTACGTTGTGAAACAGTAACTCACATTAGGGTCCTTTGTGTCACGCAGCTTGTGTGTTAATGTCAGTAACTGGTCCACTGCCTCCTTTGGTACGTTTGGCACCTGTGTAAAAATTTACTTTTTATCAGCAAATGCATATATTTTATTTCAGAAATCTAAAATACCCACCAAGAATTCTGCTTACATCTTCAATCAAAAAGAAAACATCTAATTTAAGTCTCACATGTCCTGTTTTGGCATATTTTGTGGGCATATAACATAAATAACTGCAGGAGGTCATTACATAGTGACTATGTGAGCTCTGAATTAATTAAAAATGGCCATTTACATTTTTTACAGTGCAATCGGTATATGAAAAATTGAGAAAGAGCACATAGTTCTTTACCATTTCCCTCATTATCTGAATCTCCTCTTTTCTGGTGGATGATTTAACCTCATGATATAGAAACATAGTGAGAAGCTCGGGGCCCAGCCACTGCTGAGTACTGCTGCCAATCACTGGTGGCTCTGCCAAAGCAATGATTCTGAAAGAAGGGTGAATGCGAAAGATGGACCTGTTAGGAGTAAAATAAGTAAAGGTTACAAAAAACATAGTGGTTTTTATACCAGGCACACTTGAGATTTATTCTCCAACAAAAGAATGCAAAATATTACCAAGAAAGCTAGTGGTAGTTAGGAGTAGTTAGTCACATTTACCTGACTTGTTCTGTAATTCTGAACACCTTCCATCACCCATCCAAGGGGTTTCCTGATGTCTTAAACATTAGGCCCCATTCACAAACGAATGGGGCCACAAAAATGCAACTTTGCCTGTCTAGGCAAGAATCCTAGCACCGGCCCTGTATGGGGCTACGCGGCCGTACGCCCCCCTGCGCTCACCTCAATTGCAGGTCCGTAGGGGTGCGGGTGAGCGTACTCATATGCCGCCAGAATGGATCCTGTATGCGTCCCGGCCAGAAAACCCGCACCCCTACGGACCGGCAATAGAGGTGAGCGTAGGTGTAGTAAAACTCACTTCCACCCAATTTGCCCCGGAGTTTGTATGCGTATTTGTCTGGCTTTGGTAAGGCTATCAGTACGGAAGCTCGTTATGAAGATCATTATTTTTTTTAATGTTGAGAATGTCAGGCTGATATGAATTAATACAATTATAAATAAATATGTGTTCCTTAATTGGCAAGTGTCAGAGTGCAACACCACAGTTTAGTCCTTCCAATGATTAAATAAACCCATAAAGCATAAGAAGATAACATCCATGCTTTTTTCAGGATGGTAAGAACTCTGTTGCCATAGCTACCCTTTTCAGTAAAATATGAGAAGCTAAGGATATAGGGAATATATAAAACTTGGTATTAATGCAGTTCTTTGCCAAGTTCAAGTACACCTTTTTTTCTATTATTCAGAACATAACATTGTTTCCACCAAGTTAAGTCAGGCTCACACTGCCAAGTAAAGGTGAGATGGGGGCATGATAATATCTACTTTTAAGCATCTCTGTGCATGAATACAATCCTCTTTATACATAGAAGTAGACAGACGAAGCATTGGAAAAAGGAAGCACAAAATGTTAAACATTTGAACACCACAGAAAAATATGTAATGTAAGTAAAAAAACATAAATGTATATACAATAGTATACTCCAGCTGTAAAAGTATTGATCTCCTCACTTTATACATTTTATGCCTGACTGGCAGATCCATATTAAACATTAAAGGAATATTAGAAACTACTTTGCATAATATTGTATGTTTAATTAGTATGAATTTTAAACAAGTTCTGTTACTTGCTTTATGGTCTTAGCTTTTGGCAAAAGTGTCCAAATATCTTTTTTTACTATAGTTTAGCATCAACATATCTCATTGCCAGAACCCTGGTAACATTTGTATAAGATCAAAGCTTTATTTCTCCCTCTCAGGCCAATGCAATCCACAGACGATAAAAACTAAGCTCCAACCAAAACATTCCTGTGAACAGGAGTTAGAACATAAGGTTTCCCCATTAGGAAGACTTTCTCAAAGCACCTGTGGATGACCAATACCCCACTCGCATGGGTCATTATACTACAGATAATTTACATCCCCTGCTTTACAAACTGACTCTGAAGTGTACCTCCTGAAAGACTCTCCTGTTATCTCCAGTAAGTAAGGATAATCTTGTTAGGATTACTTTTTTTCCTGTTCCTATAGCCAGAGGTTTTCTCAATAAAGTGGATACTGTCAACTCTTCCTTTACACATTACAGCTTCCTCTATCCCAGGGGGCCTGGCCTTTCCTTGCTTTAGATGTTATTATTGGGCAGAGGTTCTGGTGACGGTCCGATGGTGCCTTTCCTGCACTATTGACAATCCAGCGGTGGCCCTGGAGGCGGCGATACTTGGCTCTTATGCTGCACTTAGCAACCTGGTATTTTGTGGGGCCCTAGGTCCAATCCTGGCATTACCACTCCCATGAAAACCACTAAGGGCTGGAGGAAGGTGAGGGAGCAATGTGGTTCTGCAAACTCTTAAACTTCCAATATCACCCTTCTGGGGTAACCCCTTCCACTCTTATCTGCAATCTGTTCCAGATCCTTAGCTTTGGGCCAGGTATGGGATTTAGACCTTGTAGCATATTATGCCGGAGGGTTCACCGCTTGATTTCAATGCACTTAAGCTAGCCTTTCAGCTACTGAACTGGATGTTTTTCAGATTCCCCTAACTGCAATGTGCCATTCGCACCCAATTTCCTATGCCTATAGGCCTGGCGTCTGATCGTATTGAGCAGTTTTTGATTGCTGCACAGGTGGGTAAGTGCTTTCGTCCATCTATCTCCGATTGTCCTGTGCCGATACCTGTGGTGGCTCTCATCTCTTTTTAAAATGGCAACAAAAATATGTTTCTATTTTTTGTTGTTGGGATATTTGATTTGAAATCTGACTATGGTGAAAATAATTTCTTTAGTCATTCAACCCTAAATTATGTCTCTAATTGGCTACAAGAAATACCGGCAGACATCTCTGGCTTTAATGGTTGGTGCCATTTAAGATAAGAGTAAGCTTCCTATGAGAATACTGACAAGCTAAATGCTTCTTTCAAGAGGGGATAATAGCAGGCAACAAAATGTCAGTTATACCAACCAGCATTAGACATTTAACTTAATACATCATCTAAGGCTGGTCACACCTGGGACAAATAAATTGTACAATCTCTTTGAGATTTACCATCAACTACTGTGTAGAATGAAGGCCTACCTGACTGGATATGAAACAAATTGTTTAGATCAGGGGTGCCCACAATTTTTTGTGTTAAGATCTACTTTTCAAATGACGAGCTACGTAAGATCTACCAACGAAAAAAAACCTCCCTCGCTCTCTCTCTCCTGGCTGTCTCTCCTCGCTCTCCTGGCTGTCTCTCCTTGCTCTCTCTCCTTGCTCATCCTCCTAGCTGTCTCTCCTCTCTCTCCTGGCTGTCTTTCCTCGCTGTCTCACTCCTGGCTGTCATTCCTCGTTTTCTCTCCTAGCTGTCTCTCTTCACTCTCTTGGCTGACTCTCCCCTCTCTCTCTCTTCCCTGGCTGTCTCTCCTTGCTCTCTCCCCTGGCTGTCTCTCCTTGCTCTCGCTCCTGTCTGTCTCTCCCCGCTCTCTCTCCTGGCTCACCTTGCTGTATTTTGCAAACAGTGTAGTGCAACAGGTTGTGTAAACTAATATTCTTTGATGTAATGCATAGCACTTCAACCAGCAATATCCACCAGAAAGGTGTCAGGGAGCTTGGCTCAGCAGACTCAGGCTAGTAGGTAATCATGTGTGTCCAGCGAAATAAATATACCAAAATGGAATAAAGGGGCCACCATTCACACCCTTCGTGATCTACCAGCATCAGCTTTTAGAGCTACTGGTAGATTGCGATCTAACTAATGTGCACCCCTGGTTTAGATAGATCCTTGTACTATGTAGGTGTCAGGTACCTGTTCGCGGGAGATGCCGTGTCCCTCTGCGGGGACATAGACGGAGAGGGTATCCAGCAGCACGTCCCGGCCACGCAGGCGCAGACGGCAGAAGGCCCGGCGGGTTGCGTCCCCGTGCGGCATGACGTCATCACGTCAGTGCGGCGCGGTGACGTAATCACGCCGGCGCATGCGCAGTAGCTCATCCTCGGCCTATATAAGGCGCTGCAGGACGCTCATTCAGTGCTGGGTGATCTTCAGCCAGCACTGGATGTTCGTGCTGTGCTTGTTCTTGCTCCCTGGTCATTTGCCCTGCCTTGCTCCTGTTCCTTGCCCATTGTGGTTCTTGTTCCCTTGGCTTACTTGTTACCGACCCGGCTTGTCTCTGGACCTCTCTCTGGCTTTATCCTTGTACTCTGCTGCTCACTTGGTACCGACTCGGCTTGTCTCTGGATTTCTCCCAGGTTTAACCCCTTGTACCGTATTGCCTGCACACTACTGACCCGGCTAGTCTCTCACGCTCCCTTCTGCCTATACCCTTCAAGCACGGCGGCTATTCTGCTAGGTCACCATGTAGACCTCGTGACCTACAGTTCCGCATCCGGCACTCGTGCATCCCCTGCCTGAAACCTACTGTTCTCAACCCCAGTGGTCATCAGACGGGGTTGCAAGGGAGGTCCTCCTCGTCATCTCGGGCCCGCACCACAAACCTAACAGTAGGTGTAAGTAAACCTAAAGTACATAAAAACTGTAACATCTGAGGCCAGCTTTAAATGTTCTGATTTCTGTATCCATTACCTTTCTTGTAGTTCAACATCTGAAATGTGTAGTTCTTCCTTTAAATACTGATATCTATCTCCTCGAAGTAGCTTGGTACCGTCGTACAGAGTGAGCTCCCTGTCATGAATAAGCCTGTAAAAAAATTGTGAAAAATGTTACATACACCTGTTAGAGATAATGACCACATGACCTCAAAGCATAGGTTGATGAAAGACTCTCCTAAAGGGATTAATTTCAGTGTTTAACACAACAATGTATTTGCATAATTACTAATACAATAATTCAATGAAATACTCTGTCACTAAATGTACTGTATGTTAATTTCCAAGCTAATGAGATTACACAATAATGCTCATATTCCAATTCATCTCCATCAATTTCCCATTCACTGTATTTACCACCCAGAGTATTTCCAGCTCTAGCTGAAAACCGCCGGTGTTACGATATCTGCCTGTCCTTGGTGACCTGCATGATGCCAGGTCCCACTATTGGCTTCCTGACAGATGGCCAACAGATGTGCTACTGAAAAAAAAACCAAAGCTTTTTTAACCTTTACTTCTCATTCACAAATAAAATTTCCAACATGTTTAAAAACACTTTGTGATACCAGTCTATTCCCACAATCACAAACTGCACTGCTACTGTATATGAACCACTCTGTTACAGAATGATGCTTAAACTGGTTGCACTGAATAGTTGAATTAAACATTGTATGGCAGCTTTATATATAGAAGAGCAACACTGAGAACTATGAGTAGCACTCAGCCGCCAGTAACCCTTGTCACAAGATTCTTCTTATGTGAATAAATCATAAAGCATAATCCCAGGCCATGATTACATATACTATGTAAACGGGAGTATGAAAAATTCCAGGCTAATGAACATTTATTTCAGTACAGGAGCTGCTAATGCTGCTTCAATAAGCATAAATAAATATTGCATAAAAATTTAAAAAATATTATAAATATTGCAGAAGCAGAACAATAGTGCTAGAGCTCATCTACTTACTAAGCCGTAGATGTGGACTTTGACTTGCTTTACACAACTTCCATTGCTCTACCTTATTAAAGACAATGCTATTGCATAAACATGCTAAAAGGACAAGTTTATGCGTCAGATGTTTTTAGTATATTAATCTTAGTTACTTACTTTAAAGGCAAATGCAGACAAAAAGAATAAAACCTTTTAAGTCAAATCAATAAATAATACAGGGTATTACTTGTGCTGCATAAACTCAACTCTATATAGCAATGTTCAGTCCTACAGATGTTAGGGCCATACTGCAAAACCCCAAACCTTTAATGAATCTTGGATCGATGACTGGCAACCCTTACAGTGAGATTACTGAAGAATAAGCAGATGTGCCCCGTCAAGAAGCAATAGATATCAAAATCATGTAGGTAAGGGATCTTTTTGAGCAGAGAGCACAATCTGTAGTCCATCTCTAGAAGACAGTATAGCCTCCAAAACGTACATCACTTGTACACTATCTTTTTTAATTTGCACTAAATAAACTGCATATCTGTGGGAACCAGAGGTAGAGCTATGTTTTCCTTATAGTCAAGAACAGCTCAGCAAAGATAAAAAATAAACTGTAAGGGGACATGGGATCTGAAGAGTATGCTGATGATCAGGTAAGTAATGAAGGGCCATTGAATGGGAACACGCAAAATTAGTTTACAATAGCGTGAGTCACTGATGCCTTTGTTTTCCAAGTTCTAAAAATGTCTCTTTTCATGAAACACTGATGGGAAGGTTGATCAGTATAAGTCAGAATGAAGTTCAGAAATAAATAACACAAACTGTACATAGTTTAGTTAGAGACCCAAGCAGACAGTACAGTGACTAGCTTCTTATAATCTTTAAGACTGCAACTTATTAGGCAACCATCATTTTTTTTCTAGCACAAGTCCTGGTACTAAGAAAAGTAGGTACATAAACAAATTCTGCCAGTGATAGCCTTCTTGACACACATCAGCTGTTAGTGATAGTCATGTTCCCAATTTGACTTTAGAATATTTTAAGTAATAAAATATAGCTATACGTATCTATTTCTGACCATTCCACCACATAAACTATTTAGGAGATACATATTTTAAGTATTTTTAAAGCTCTCAGCTCACAGTACAATTTTTCAAACTTTATCTAGTCTTCTAAAATGCAAGCAGTTACCGACCTTTGAAGAATGGCTAAAGTGCCTGGATTGACACGATGGATACCATCAAGAATTACAAGCTTTCCTTCCAAGGCAGCTGTAACCAAAGGAGACTGTCGCCAGGCAGTGTCACCATTTGGAAGTGTGTATCTTTGCTGCAGCAAATCCCTGGCAGTCATATCCTGCACAAATAAATTCCACAGATATAAATGTGATAACAGCAACAATGTTGTGATGCAGACTACAATTATAACAATAAGAAACTGGTATGTAATAATACTAACCAATGATACTTCCTAGCCCTAACTAGTACTGCTCTAAAAGCCAGATTCTGTTGTAAATATATCTGGCATTATGTGATAGACTTGGTGGAAAAATACATATAAAATGCATACTATATTCTGGAGACAGGGCCATGAGCTTCTATTGACAGGAATTACATTACTACAAGATGTAAAGACACAGTGGAGCATTATGTTCATGAAATCAAACAGATGAATGCACTATTTTAGAACTAAAACCCTTAAAGATAAACTCACACAAAATGCACAAAATATTAATGGATAGCTAAAACCAAATTATTTTTTAAATATTGGATAGAGTAACTGTCAGGAAAATCATGTATGCAGTAATGCAAAAGAATCTACGTGTGCGCATGGCCAAGCAGGCACCTATGTCTGCAGAAATGTGCATAGACTTTGTCCATGTTGAATATCTACCTTGGATGTGGTTATGGTGCCTGGGATTATGTGGTTAAATAACTGGGTGTGGAGTGCCTATTAAACCTGAGCCTTAGTAAGGAAAGTTGCAGAGTGGTTGTCAGCGACTGCTTCCTGCGACTTCCTGTGAGATGAATCCAGAACATGTGCCCCATTGAACTAATTCCCCTCTATTTTAGTTTTTGTAAAAACACAAAATGTTAGATTTTCTTTAGAACTGGTGACATTTGTCACCAGGACAAACAGAGGTAGTGAATCTCCCTAGCGGGGATGCACAAAGCATTAAAAACCTCAGAGGGGTTCTATCCTATTTTCCACTCTATCCAAAACTAAATATAAAAACTTTGGCTCTAGATTCACTTTAATATGTGGCTTGTTTTTGTGTTATTACTGTATGAATTACATTCTTGATTTGTACATTTAAAAAGCACTCTTTGAGTGCGTTATCTCCATCCAGTTTCCTAATTTTGCCCAACTGCTCCAGCCATCATAATTATGTGTGATATTGTAATGATCCCCAATCATCACATCAACACTATAGTCTATAAGAAGTAAGGTTTTGTTACTGTGTTCAGAGTTTTGACAATCCAGTTCACAATGATCAGAACTGTGTACTAGATTTTTGTATTGTTATTTTGTATCATTTGTCATAAGTTCAACCAAGCAAACACACAAACAAATTATACAACAAAAACAGGAAAAAAAGATATGAGACAGGAACAGAAGACTTATTCATTAATACAAAGAGAACTTGTTCTTTATAATGTTCTCTCCTGGCCTCCATTTTATCAAATACGTGATGGAAGAGAAAACAGAGAGAGGATGCTATATGATACTATCTGTAACTTGTTTTTGTTATGTAAGGCACATACAATTATCCCCCATATATCTCAGTTTATTTTATGTTTTTCATTTTGCACTTTGTTTAAAACAATGCACTATCCTAGAATTGACAAGAGATCCACTGAAGACTTGCAACAAATATCTAGCATGGTATTTCTAAAGTACCACTTACAGCTTTGAGCTTTCAGAAGGCCAGAAATGCCTGAAACCATGAGTTTGGTTGTAACATTTATATCACTTTCATTTACATGAAGATTCTACAACTAATACATGAACAAAAAAGTGCTGCTGCAATGCTTCTGTTAGGATATGAATATATAACAAAACCTGTTTACTTGCTTGGCTATGTACATTATAGATGTATTGGTGGAGAAGAGTGAATGGCTTCACTAACTATTTTCCTACTCTCAGATGGTACTAGAAGGCTTCACTTTAACCATTTTACTGCGGCAAGAGTTCTGACAGTACTTTACTCTGGTACTCTCCACAAGCAAGAGTTCTAGTAGTACGGTTTCTGGCACTAAAACACTGTACCAAAGCCCTACCAAATTTTGCCCCAACGATAAGTAACCCCGACAGTGAGAAAGGTTGAGAGAAAGCAGAATTTGACCAAAATTCATAGGTAAGCCATACGTAGCCACATCCTTAATCACTTTGCACACAATAGATACGATTCATTAAATGCAGGGGGAAAGTCTAGCAAAGGGATGAAGCACGTTTACCAAAAGAACGTTCAGTCTCCAACAGCTGATCACTTTAGTTTCCAGAAACGCATTTTTCATTGAGCAACTTAAATGAGCTATAAATAGCATAGGTTACTCACACAAGGGAATTTTAATTACACGACAAAAGCTGCGCTAACGTGTTTTTTTTTCAAGCTCCTTAATTTAAAAACATGTTTGCAATGTTTAAAATTAGAAACAGCAACAGGAAAATATATTTATTCCTTGCTCAATGAGTGGGTTTCTTCAGATGTGAAAAGAGTTTGTTTTTTCCCCAAACCAGCATGAACCTATATCTAAACGCCTTCGGAGGGAGGGAAATTATCCCCAGTTAATTCATTAAATGCACTTCAGCTGTTACTGCCACCCTTCTCTTATGCCCTTTGAATTACAGATCACAAACCTTACCCATCTATTTTTGCCTCATTATGGCACATTACAGAGCTCTTTTTAGAGGGAATTCAGTGTTGTAAACACTTTCATGCAGAGATGTGTTATGTTTCTTTGTACTCTGTTTTAATGAGCTTGTTTTTCTGGGCTACACACAATAATTCAGTGACCCTTCCTCCTTCCTTTGAATGGGAAATTGTACCCTTTAAGGATTCTAAAATAAGATTTCTTTTAAGCAAATTTACTAAATAAACATTTATTCCAGTCAAATGTTAAGTTTATATTTCTGATTCTTATTCTATGCTCTTTAAATGCGTAAAACATCTGCATTGTTGAAATGTAATGTGGCATGTTCAACAAGCGTGTATAAGTATCTCTATACCGTATATTATTTTATTATGAAGTGTTGGACTTAAATGACCATCATTGGTACATCTAATTAATTGTAAGGCTAAGATCACCAGCTTCCATCATAATTTGGCAACATACAGCAGTCACACAGTGTATCATTAAACGTTTGACAGTAACTGTGTATTTACAGTCTACTATATTGTTTTGCTTGGTGTTTGAATACATTCTTGATTATGACAATCAACGCTGTTAATTTTAATAATCAATATTGGGCTATAGACCGACAGAAACCCACAAGATGGCAGAACATGAAATACACCCATAAAATATATTTTGCATATATCTTGTCTGATGTGAAATATAAAATAAATGAAATCTGGGTTGCAGACATGAACACTGGAGAAGTGGAAATATACAGTAGGGTGGTGGGCCCTTGCTTCTCCTTAATTCAGTTTTAATACATTAGCATCAATGATTGTTAAGCAGCCTAGATGGGAGGATCTCTGATCCCTGTACTGCATGAAGTCCCTGAAATTAGATTCACAAAGTGACACTAAACTCAGGAGTTAAATCTTAAAAATGCATTCAAGTACATTAACTATTAACAAAAATGTAGCTTATTTGTGCAAAAAAATGGATCCAGTCTTTGTGCATGTGAGAACATTAAAGTGACACTAAACTCTGAGTTAAATCTCAAATAAACACTTTCAAGTGCCCCCAACTATTAACATAATGTATCTTATTTGTGTATCACTCGGCTGTAGATCCTCAAATCATCTCTGAATTGGTGCTGACACTGTCCTTCCTTCTGGAGGGTGGCTACTTTTGTTCCCCATGGTCCCTGTGTGTGTTGTCACATAGCCACCATTTCAAGCACGCTCCTGTCATGGACCAAAAATTGTTTACTAATTTGTATTGAGATTGTAGTCCATCACATGAGCGAGCTTGGAGTGGTGTCTAATTTACAACAGACACAGGGACCATGGAGAACAAAAGTAGTCAGTAGCAGAGATCTGCCCTCACTTTCTGTTAGGCTATTACATAGAGAGAAAATGTTGAGAAATCTGTCCAACAGGGACAAAGCAAAAAGAATGTAAAAAAAAAGAATACAAACAAATGAAAATGTATATAGTTGCACTTTAAAAAAAAAAAAGACATCCCCTGTAAATAAGACCTAGTGTGTTTTTGTGGGGAAAAAAAAATATAAGACAGTTCCTTATTTTCGGGGAAACATGGTGTATATATATATATAGCGCAAAAAATTACCTGGTACAACATGACAGGCTCCACTTCATACCCAAGCATATCAGCAAATTCTTTAGCATTCACACTTTTGCCGCATCCCTAAGAAGAGAAACAGACTTTGGTGAACCACTTACGGTGAAATTAATGTATATGCAATGTCAACTTAAGACTGAGTGGCTTACTTATTTCTTAATTATCTGTTAAAGAGTATTTATACTGTAATCAACCTTATCTTGGACCATATCTAATTCAATGAATAAATTCTGCTGACAGTGAACAAAAATCTTTAAGATCCTTCAAAACAGATACAGTTAAATCTTAGCCCATCAACACATTTTGCAACAGATACCATGAACACATTACCGATTCAATACAGAAATATTACATAGCATAACTTTGGCACTGCTGTTAACTGTTTTAAGTTTTCAAATAGATGTAAAAGTATGTTAAGTTTAACAAATCTCAGAGAAGAGTATACATTAAGCAAAAGTTCAGCTTTGAAATGTCCCCCCAAAGGGCAGTCAACCCAAAACTGCCATTTCAGATTTGGTAGATAATGGAAAAATGATTCAGTTACTGGTTTCCTATGTTCCTCAGGGTCTTTAGTGGTGAGATTTCTGTGCTTAAGGTGAATGCATGTATGATCAAAAGTTTTTGGGGGTTGTTTTTGCACTTTCAAAGTCTTTAAAGGAAAATGTGCATGTATTGTAGAAATGTAGCGCATATGTCCTTTCCATTTGCTTTGACATACGCTTCACGTTCCTAGGTTTACAATCCTGCCATAGCAATCACCAGGAGAAACCCACTTTCCCTGTTACATATAAAATAAATCTGATGTAGAAGTAGGAGCAAGGCCTCATGGTGTACATCACAAGAGTTGGGGACTACGAAGAGAAGATTTCACTGCTGGAGCCTCCAAAAGATATTAGTAACACAAGATTCTACCAATAACCAGTATTAGGGCTCATGCACATGGGCGTAATAAAATACTGATATCTACACAGGATCTGCTAGCAGAAAGATGCTGCATAAAAAAACACATGTAATGGTGCATAAACACATCCGTTTACAAACGTTTAGGCAGGCAATCATCCGTAAAAAGAAATCATATCTGTAAAAGTTCTTCCATTTCCATCCTGTATGTGTAAATTAGGCAAAAATACTGGCTGAGGGTGCAGATTTTTTTGTATTTTTAAGACACAACGTAAAAATCTATTCGCTGTGTGGATGTGAAAGCAATTTTTTTTTTTTTTTTACACCCCTGTAAATGAGTCCTTCAGTTTTTGGCAGACTGACTTTTACATGTTGTGTAAAATTATCTCAAGTTCCATATAAATATGAATTGTACAAAAGTGAAATTAATCATTTTGTAAACTGAGTGTGTAATAAGAACCTTGAGAGTCAAGAGCCCTTTTACCTGAATTCACTTGAAGCAACCTTAGGGAAAACTCATTTATCTTATATGACCACAAATATAATGTACAAACTTTAAAAAACAAGTAGAAGAATACCTTTCCTCCAATCAGACATATGTCTTTAACCATGTGAGACTGCATCATTTCAGCCAGCAGCTGCTCATGTGTACTGGTTCTAATTAATGTAGATAGCTGAGAATGTAAGCTCAATGGTCGGGTTCCTGATGCCATCTGTGAAAAAATAATGTCTCTTGTCAACATAGAGTAAAGGGGTAGACTACACCACTGCCTCATGGCAAAGTAGAACCTTTGATGTCTTAATATGCTTTAAGATTCTTCTTATTTAGTCAAAAATGTGGTATATTGTTATCTATGAAAACAACTGCTGCAGAAAAAAACACCAGAATTAGAAATGATTGGATAAAGGCTTGTTATGTAAATAGATCCAGAATAAATTGACAGAAAGAAACTGATTGAAGTAAAGTGGCCAATGGAAAGATATGCTTTTTATGGCTTAACCAAATAGGTTTTATATAAAATAATGTTATTTATGCTGGTATGATGAAGTAAAGATACTGCTTTAGAAAAGAGCTCCACTTCCCTATGTTTGAATTTCAAAGAAAAAATAAATCTTTATGTAAATATTATCAAGTTGCATGAAATGAATAGAAAAGCATACTTTTCACTCTCCATCTTGGTGTATATAGAGCAAACTCCAGTCAGATCCCCTAGATCAGTGGTTCTCAACCTCTATAACCTCAGGACCCACATTTGTCCTTGGTCATTAGGTCGTGACCAAGTCGCACCACACTGGAATGCACAGCATTGCAGTACCACATGTTTCGGTGCAAGCGATTAAACTGTGGGCAGGAGGTGTGTTCGGGGTGCCATTCAAATGAATTGCAACACAATGCCCCTGCCGCACCAGATGGAACAGTAGGTGCGATTGCGTGATAGTTTGCGACGAACTGACAGCTACGCACACAATCCCACACAACCCAAAAATATTTTTAGGGTTTCAGTGTGGGCCACTGTGCTGTAACAGAGCTCCATTCATACGTGCATTGGTTGTACAGCTCCTTTGCACTGCCTGTATAGGTGCCGAGAGCCAGACTGTGATATCACTCCGGTCACATGAGGGAGCTGTAAGCAATGCATGGCTGGAGCTCGTGGCCCACCCCACCTCAAGCTGAATGGCTGCTCGGCACCAGAACTGACAGTGCTGTGCTAGGGTAGGCTGAGGAACCTCCCCACCTAGTGCAGTGGAATGCATGCGGCGACCCACTGAACATGGGGTCGCGACCCACTTTTGGGTCACGACCCACCAGTTGAGAACCAAGGCCCTAGATGACCATAGCAGAACATAATTACAGCAGTAACAGAAGTGTACTGGTCTGTAAAAAAACATTTCTCTGTCATGATCAGGTATTTTTTCCACAATGAAAATTACTTCTGTACATTAGATTTTGCTTAAAATAAAATTACCCATTCATAAAGTTCAACAATAACCCATTTTCAATTACCATATTCAACAAATCGCAAAAACTAACAAACCATATACAGTAAACTCACTATTATTCGGCATTCAAGCAACCAAAACTCTCAAGCATCCAGCAAAAAAAACATATGTTCTCCATTTTTATTTTTTTTTGCCAGTGGCTTGATGTACCCTAAAATTTTCATTAGTAACTAAATTTATTTGGTTGCTTACATAATTCTTTGTTTACATCTTGCCGCTGGCTAGATTCCACGGTCGGCAGCAAAATGTAAACAATGGGGAGCAATGGCAGCCTGCTATTGGCTATTTCAAATTGCAAAAGCACATAGCAGGCTGGCTAGTGCATCGCCCAGTGAGCAGAGGAGCGGACCTAAGAGAGAACTTTTAGGTTTATACACACACACACACATCATTTGTTTTATTAAAGGATAATTATGGGGAGAGTGAAATGCACTCATCCCCATAATTAGAGCCAACATGTGACACTGCAATACTGCGATAGTGAGCAATAGCTGGCTATATGCTGAGTTTTGGGTCACAGTAGGACACAGTAAATGTCCTCTTGTGACCCTAAAGAGAATTATGGCCAAAAAAGGTTGGGCCATAGTTCTCTTTTAAGGATTAGAATGCTAAAACCTTATAGCTGTTCCCTTTTAATTTATAAAAGTGCCACACATTTGAAGCCCTGCTTATATTTAAAATATACAGTACATAGTATACGATAGCTGGCATCATCTGACAAAACCGTTTAATTAGGCACCTTACCTCCACTGAGATGTCTGTGTCACGTGATCGTATAGTCACAGCTGCTTTAGGGCTATCAGAATTCTGCAAAGGCTCTACATTTACAATTGTCAGAGAATCAGGGTGCTTTCCGGAGTCTGACAGTTCAAATCTCTAAAAACATGGAAAGGTATTACCAAATAATATAATGTATGGAATTACAGGTTGGACAAAAGAAGTGCATCAATGACTGATGAATAAGTTATTATAACACTGCTACTTATTTTCTCTCATAATAATCTTCTCCTAAAAATGTTCAATTTACAAACATAAATGTCACCAAGATGTTTAATCTGCATTTATTTTTTCAAATGTATTTCTTTTCTCATAAATCATATTATCACAACCTCAGCTGCTTTTCCTTCTCTTCTCCAAAGCCATCTATTAAAATTCCCAATTATCACCACCCTAAAGCTAGTGTTATTTTAAGAGGTGATAATCTATGTGGTAATCTTTCTGAATTGGCTTTTACATTGCTTTATAAGCACCAATAAAATAACACAAACAGTAATTTAATAGCACTGGTAGTGGTAAAATACCTGGTAAAATAGATGACTAAATAAAGAATGTTACAGCATCTTCAAAGTGGTAGGCATGTTGCATAAATTAATGATACAAACCCCCCAAATATCCATTTTAATTCGAGGTGGTAATGCAACAAAATAGGAAAAATGCCAAGGAGGTGAATACTTTTGCAAGCCACCGTATACGTGTTCGTAATTGGAAAACTTGTGGATGGAAGCTGTAGAAGAGAGAAAAACTCAAAAAGCCCTAATTACTTCCAAAGAATGTAGAGAAACATATTAGGGATGTTTTGGTACAGGATTGTAAAATGTCCTGTGGAAGGCAGAGACCAGCTTAGCAAGAAAGGAAGCCTTAGGCCTCAGTACAACCTTATCCTGTGTATAACCAGAAAATTATCTTTACAAGACAAAGCTGCTGACTCTGAAACACACCTGGGAGAACTGATGGCTACAAGGAAGGCAACCTAGGGAGAGAGTAGGGTCAGGGGAATATTTATGATAGGCTCAATGACAGAACAAAATTGGGGTCCTACAGAGGTCACAAGCAACACCTCACTAGAGAGTGAGAGAAAGTGAGGCAAAATTTAGACCTTGATGGTAATCAAGGATAAACACTGGTCAAGGTCAGACTGGAGGAAAGATAGGATACGTTGCTCCTCCTGTGATACAATTTCCTTGATTTGCACCATGTAAAATAAGCCTAAGGTTTAATGGTAGACCTTGCAGAAGGTTGACTCCTCGCTCTCAGAAGCATAGGGATGACAGCTTTCAAGAAGCCCTGGCCCTAAGGACCTGGGATTCAACAACCAGACCATGAAAGCCAGCGACCAAGAACCAGGTCCTTCAGACCTTGGGACGGTAGGTCTGGATAATCTGGAAGTAGAAGTTCAGAGTAGGGAAGGCCTAGATCAGACCAAACTGAACCCAGGAGTCAAGGCATCCACAGAGAAGGCCTGGCAACCAACCTGTACAGCTTGTTGTTGAATCTGGGCATCAGGAGATTAGCATTCAGCATCCCACACTTGAGACCAAGATCCTAAAACATCCCATTCTCCTAAAACATCCCATTCTCCAGGATCCAGACACTGATGACACTGTTAACTGAGGAGGACCCTAAGAAGGGGAGTGAAGGAGAGCAGGAGAAAAGTATAGGGCTAGCAGAGGCAGTGTCTGCAGAAGAAACAGTACCCTCCCCAGGAGCATTGTGGGGCTGTAATCACCCTCAAAGCAGGCAAGGCTGGTAACTTAAATGGAACAAGCCACATCCAGTCCACATCCTTGGTCCTGTAAGCACCCTGTGCCAACTATACACATTACACAAAGTGCCAAAAAGAGTGCCCCACACCTCATCCAGGGCCCTAAACACATTACATTGCAGCCCTGTATCTTACTTCTGACGGAGTCCGCATACAGTCCACCAAGACTCTGCTGAGCAGACAAACAATCCGGACAGCTAGTTTTAGGTACCACAGTAGCCATAAGCAGCATTAAGGAAAACCTGCTAGAATACTCTTCAGTAGAAATAGCAGGAAAGAATGTACAAAGTTTAGGCATCCATACCTAAGGACACTAGAAAAAAAAAAGGCAGCCTGGAAGTAGGAGGAGTTATACAGGGCTGTCCTAAAGCTTTAAATTATTTGCCAGTAAACAATCGCCTAATGGTAGTTGCATAACCCATATATTGAAGTATTAACCCCTTGTATCATAGTGTAATGTACAATCAAGAAAACAGCTTTGTTAATTGAGCCCAACGTATGGAAGAAAGGCTAAACCAGACCATTTCCAGTATTTAGGCAGCTGAATTCTCACAGTACAGCAGAGTAGTTTGAATGGCCAGAAATGGAATTTTAAAAAAGCCAATGTTCACATATGAACACCAAGTCATGCAACTGCTTCATAACCGCTGTCACTGTCATTTTTGCTGGACAAATTAGTCTGCATTTACATGTGAAGAAAATATAAAGGCCTAATAAATAAAATGAATTTAAATACAAAACACTATCACTACCAGTTCCAACCTTAAACTAGGAATTTACAGGCTTTTCATTCAGAAACAAAACAAAGAGGGGAAAAAAACAAGCAACAAACTACTTCAGTACAGTGCTGTCAGATGCTCACTGGTATTTACTGGTATATGTGGTACACTGGTATATTAGATTCAGTGCAATATACATTGAACAAAGTTTAGAAGTAAAAATAAACTAGAAAGAAATAAAGTTCTTTAATTATTTACTTGTCAATATCTACTAAGTATTTAAAAGCAAATTATGTGCCTGTACCGAAGCAATTAGCAATGGAGACACCAGTTTTTCCAAGTAGTTAAATGGCCATCAAATATACACTTCAGATGACATTAAAAAAAAGGAACAAGTAAAGCAATAACAGTAATTCTGTCTGAAGTCTGTTGAAGTAGGCAATTAGCACATTAGTTGTCAGTTTGCATACTAGCAATCTTAAAGGACTCTGTTTCTTTCAATTTCTATCATAAACAGTGGTGACCAAGTGAAATTGTCTGAATCATGTGTACATCGGTATTGAGGTTTGTCATTTCTGCAAAGGAAGGCATAAAGCAGGAATCCATGATTCATGAATTGTGATTCTTCACAGACTGGACAATCTGCATGCATACTGTATATTCTGGTGACTCAAAAAATGTTCCATGTCCCAAACTGCCTGATATTTTTTTATTTATTCTCTCATCACCACATAAACCTTTGACTTATTTCACCAACTTTCTTAAAGAGCAACTCCGGGGGAAAATGTATTAACAGTGTGACTACACCCATACTGCAAGGGTTAACTGCTCATTTTCATCTAGAGACTAAAATAAAAAGGTTATTCTCTCCCGAACCTCTGAGCCGGCCAGCTGTTAGAGTGCTCCCTCCTCCTCCTTCTTGGACGTGATGACTCGAGGATCCTTAGGCGGTTGCAGAGGAGGGGAAGCAAGGCTAGAAGTGCTGGTCTAAGGGATAGCCGGCTCCAATGTTCGGGTGATTATATTTTTTTAATTTTAGTCCCTAGACAAAAAAAAAACAGTTAACCTTTGCAGTGTGGGAGTAGCCCCACTGCAAGAGTCAATAAAAATGTTGCACGGAAATCTGCTTTAAACATTAGTCTGGAATGCTACTGCAGACTAGAAGCATTTGTGAAGTGTGCCAAAATACATATTTACCTTTAATGCGTCCTCCACAGCAGTCCTACCTTCTTTTCCCAATAACACACTGTAAGGATACAACCTCTGGATTATGTTTTGGGTGGACATCATGGGAAACGCATTCTTTGGATGGATAAAGACAAACACATTACTGCTTTAGTTGACAAAATGATAGAAGAGATGTACAGGATATTTGGCATGTACAGGTCAAAAAATTAAAGCTAGACATAGAATATAAAACAACTATTAAAAACATTTTCATAAACTTATCTGAACGGAATATATCAGAGAGATCTTTGGGAGGAAAAGTTGATTAGCAGTCAGTAATTTTCATGAATAATATGCTTTTCTTTTTTTTTCCAAGCAAAGGTTCTTTGATTTCTAACCTGTGCTGAAAAGCTGGACACAGGGGAGCGAAATTCCTATCGCCCAACGCCAGGGACATGCAGTTTCGGGCGCCGGGCAGGAGGTTTTTTTCTGCATTTAGTTTGTTTCTGCATTCAGCCCTGCTTCAGGTAAGCGGGGCTAAATATAGAGCAGGGAAGTCCACACTTATTTTGTACAATTGATCTGGGTGGCTGTATAGCCACCCAGATCACTTGTAGCAGCTTGCTTGTCCGATCAACCCATGCAAC